ATCTTGGGCCCTCTCGGTAATGCTCATCACTATAAGCCTTGCAAGCAATGAGACTAATGAGTTAGTTGCGGGATGAAGCATTACGGAACGAGTAAACAGACTTTCCGGTAACGAGATTGAACTAGGTATGATGATACCGACGATCGAATCTCAGGCAAGTAACATACCGATGACAAAGGGAACAACATATGTTGTTATGCGGTTTGACCGATAAAGATCTTCGTAGAATATGTAGGAACCAATATGAGCATCCAGGTTCCGCTATTGGTTATTTACCGGAGATGTGTCTCCATCATGTTTACATAGTTCTCGAACCCGTAGGGTCCGCATGCTTAACGTTCAATGACGATTGGTATTATGAGTTTATGTGATTTGATGTACCGAAGGTTGTTTGGAGTCCCGACTAAGATCACGGACATGACGAGGAGTCTCGAAATGGTCGAGATGTAAAGTTCGATATATTGGAAGGCTATATTCGGACATCGGAAAAGTTCCGAGTGATTCGGGTATTTTTCGGAGTACCGAGGAGTTACGGGAATTCACCGGGAGAAGTAATGGGCCTTATTGGGCTTTAGCAGAGAGAGGGGAGAAGGGCCAAGAGGTGGCGCGCGCCTCCCCCCTGCCCAAACAGAATTGGACAAGGGGTGGGGGCGCAGCCCCCCTTTCCTTCTCCCTCTCCCTCTTTTTCCTTCTCTCCTACTTCGAATAGGAAAGGGAATCCTACTAGGACTTGGGAGTCCTAGTAGGTCTCCCTATGCTTGGCGCGCCCCCTAGGCCGGCCGCCTCCTCCCTCCCTCCTTTATATACAGGGAGGGGAGCACCCCAATGACACAAGTTGATCTTTAGCCGTGTGCGGTGCCCCCCTTCACAGTTTTCCACCTCGGTCATATCGTCGTAGTGCTTAGGCGAAGCCCTGCGCCGGTAACTTCATCATCACCGTCACCATGCCGTCGTGCTGACAGAACTCTCCCTCGGCCTCAGCTGGATCTAGAGTTCGAGGGACGTCACCGAGCTGAACGTGTGTAGATCGCGGAGGTGCCGTGCATTCGGTACTTGATCGGTTGGATCGCGAAGATGTTCGACTACATCAACCGCGTTACTTAAACGCTTCCGCTTTCGGTCTACGAGGGTACGTGAACACACTCTCCCTTCTCGTTGCTATGCATCACCTAGATAGATCTTGCGTGATCGTATGAATTTTTTTGAAATTACCGCATTCCCCAACACAAAATCCTCTAGTATATATAGGTTGAGGGGAGTGGGAGGGGTGGCCGACTTGGGGAAGGGTTTCCCCTCCCCTTGTGCCGGCCTAGAGGGTGGTGGAGTCCAACTCCACCTCCCAATTCAGCACCAACTCTGCCCTAATAGGCATTTTAGTATTTTCTTTAGCATGTTGATATTAAATAAATTCTACAAGCCTTCTAACCAATATTAGAACCTTTTATCATTTATTTAATGTCTCCGGAAACATTTTCCGCCTATATATCATTTCCCGGTATTACCCAATATTCCCAGAAACTTTTTTGGTAACCCTGAAACGCTTCCGGTTTCCCTCAAAACTATTTCTTATGTTCACAAATCTATTCCGAGAATATTTTCTCATAACTCTTAGTCCACTAATACTCAACAGATCGTGATTCCCTCAAGCGTGTGACCTATAAGGTTTGGTAAAACATAAACATGAACGAAACTGCCTTCATTCAATGATCAATAGCGGAACCATGGACATCCATTTTGACCCCTGTGAATACATAAATGATATTCGAGTGAACTTTGGTTATCATATGTTATTCCATTTTCTTCACGATACTTTACAAAAACTGAGGTGAGATTTATCGGTATCATCTTGAGTCATTCTCATGCTCATTATACTGGTCTCCTCATTATCAGTTTTGTTTTTCTTTCTCGTTGTCATGTTCCAGCATCCATGTGATCTAGTCAATCGTGTCTCGCCAGCTGATGATGATGTCGTGACGCCAAGAGGGCCCTAAGAATATCTCTCCATCGTCGGAGGAGCAAATCCCACTCTTGAGCTATCTAGTCCCTTGTCACACTTTTCGATGAACCTGAAAGTTGTCGTTATGATCACCGTGTTACAAAATGATGTTTGAGCAACCCAAAAGTCCATCGTCCGGTATGAAGTGACTAGGATACTCTCATGGTCTAAGGAACTAAAGCATACATCAGCTCTTTGTGTTATATCAATTGACTTGTGAAGATTACATCTCAAAGTATAACAAACAAGTTGGGTCAATTCAGTATGATCGCTCTTCTAATATCATACTCTCAATGTTGTTTTGGGATTATTATTACACTTAACAAAATCTCAAGATCAGAAAAACATGATTGACATACAACACTTGAGCTAGTCCCAAAGGTAAGACTAGGAATCATGTTTTACCGTTTATCATTCCACACGTGATTATGACTTTTTTTCCGAATCACATATTTCAGAATCATAGCAGTTATAGCATAACTATAAACGTGAAAATAAATAATACAATATTATTGCCTCTTGGACATATTTCCAAAAAAAATAGCAAAGTTTGTCGTTCCCTCTAAGAACAACATTGCAAAAATACCATGGCGACACGTGTGAACTTGCCGTCATAAAAAACATGGCAAGAATAATTTGAACTCATTATTTCTATATTTCATTCATATTTTTCCTGTTTGTTAGTTTTTAAATGGCAAGTGAGGTGTTTTGCGTGAGGCAGTTTGACATTTACTGGACATCAACTAATCCACTTTTCGATTTCTCGTGCACGGAACTAGTTAGCGCACCAAACTAATTAGCACACACAACACATAGTAAGCTTCCCGCCAAAAAAAAAACACATAGCAAGCTAGCTAAAATGAATCAAAAAATTGCAAAAATCTATACCTATACCATTATACCCCTACTAATTAAGCAAGGTGCGTTTCGTCAATTTTTTCATTCATTCACCGTAAAAATGATTTTTTTCCTATCCGAGGTGGTACTAAATTCTCATGCATTCGTCTGCTAGAAAACAAAAAGGCTTTTTCAGAATTTTATATATGGGCCGCGCGTTGTGGCCCAGCGAAGTCAGCCGGCTTATTTTTCTACCCACACAGCTAGAAAAATTCTATTTTCGCACAGGGTGACAAATAGTTGGAGCTAAGCACAGGACAACCCATAATGGGATGGCCTGTTTTTCTTTGTTTCTATGTTTTCTGTCTATTTTTATTCTCCTTCCCCTATCTCTTTTTTCCATTCCAACTTTATTTGTCTTATAGAATTTAATTCATAAATTTAAAATTCTCAAGAAACGTTAAGAATTAAAAAAAATCAAATTTTGGAAAATGTTCAGAACTCCAAAATTTTGTTGCTATTTTGAAAAATATTTGAAACTTGAAAAACGTTTCCTATTTTTTCAATTGTTTTATTATTTTGCAAAAAATGTTCGAGATTTCTGAAAATAAAATGACATTCTAAAAAATGCTCCAAATTCAAAAACTATTCTTGGTTTAGTGAATCTTCACAATTCAAAATAATGTTCGCATATAAAAGATACATATTTTCAAAAAATATTATGATTTTCCAACATATATTCCTGTTTTAAAAAATATGCACAAATTCAAATAATGTCCATGTTTTTATAAAAAAACTTGTTTTTTTCAAAAAATGATTGTGAGTTTTAAAAGATGTTCCTGTTTCAAATTTCGTTTGCGTTTTTTCCTAAAAGTGTACATAATTTTCAAAATCCTATTCAAGATTTTAAAAATGGTTCATACTTTCTACTCCCTCCGTCCCATAATGTAAGACGCTTTAAAAATGGTTCATGCTTTCTACTCCCTCCGTCCCATAATGTAAGACGTTTTTTCACACTACACTAGTGTGAAAAAACGTCTTACATTATAGGACGGAGGGAGTACAATATACAAAAATTTCATACCTTAAAATATCCATGATTGAAAGGAAAAGTAAATTGAATAGTTCATGGGTCTTCTTTGTCGTACGACGACGTAACAAAATTTTTAAATGCCCTCGATCAATGAATGAAAAAATAGCGAATTGATTACTTCACACCCGGCGAAACCGAGAAGCTAAATGTTCCTTTTTTACGTGCACACAGAATTTTACTTGCACATATAATTTTCACTAACTTGAAATGCATATTATTTTTCTCGCGTTGCAATGCACGGGCATATGTGCTAGTAGTAGAAGCACAATGAACTAGTTCTCGTGTTTCTCCGCGAATTAAAAAAAGCCATCTTGCTACCGGGTGCTACGTCGAAGGGAGGAGCTGGGAGTACCTCGTGGCCCTGATTCCCGGCGACGAGCATCTGGGCCGCGAGCCGCAAAAAGTCTCGTCGGGACACCATACGAATTGCGGGGCCTCCGCTAGGATGGCTGCTAGAAGGCGATGGGACAAGGCTGCCGAGCCCAAGCTCGAGGCTCAACGCCGGGGAGTTTGGAAGGCGCAACTCAGGCCGCGGCTCTGGCGAGGACAGAGCACCCGGCCACGCCTCCGCCGCGGATTGATGTGACCTCTTCTCACCTTAGACCACCATCATGGCTGTCAGGTGGGGCTGGTAAATTCAAAAATATGTGCTGCAAAGCGACTACATCGGCCAAGTTCACCATATGTTTTTCTAGGGGCAACCAACACGCGCCCGTTGTTTCTCAAAGGGGAAAACAACTCAAGAAAACTCGATGGAATATAGAAGTTTAATCAGCGCAAAGGTTTAACGACATCGCTCCATTATTGTTCACACTGAGACATTCATTACTACTCTCTCCGTCCCAAAATTCTTGTCTTAGATTTGTCTAAATACGAATGTATCAAGTCACATTTTAGTATCAAATCACAATTTTGGGACGAAGAGAGTATTATTGTTCTCACTGAGAATTCAGTAAATTTTGTCACAACAGGTTCTGCCTTAGGATAGCTCTATAATTGTTCTCACTGAGAATTCAATAAATTTTGTCGCAACAGATTGTGCCTTCGGACTGCAGAACCAGCACACGCACATTCTCACAGTTGCCAAGTCTCCAAGCACTTCAACTCCGAGTTGAACCTGTAAACTTGACCCGGAGAGGCGCTGATCACGGCAGCATGGTCGCCATAGTGGATCCTCGCAAGCGCAGGCGAATTCCCGCTGCTGCCAGACCATACAAGAGCTTCATGCAGGCTACCTTCTTTCCAGCAAATGTTAACCGTCAACCCGCCTCGGGCCCTCAAACCTTTAACGCTGCCATGGGGCCACTTGTCGCGGGGCAGAGCAGGGAGCAGGTACAGATCACTCCCGGTGCTCTGCACAAGCATTTCGCACAATGCAGCTGGGAATCTGCAAGAGAAGACGATCATTGTGATGCTTGTGAATCGATCGTTGCAGTTAAGTAGCAGTCACTATTACTAGACCTCTTTTAAGTGGTTAACAATTTACAGCTTAGAGTCACCACGAGGTAATCATACTATGGTAAACAGAGCTGGCTGTGGTGAATTGAATGGTTTTGTCAAATAGAGCCGGAACTTCATGTGTCACAATTCAAGGTAATCATACTATGATAACATATTGGATCATGATTGATTAGGTTGAAGGTGATCTGGTTTACCCAAAATTTGCATCAATCTGGAATGGTGGATGCGCTGTGAACAAATTGCTGTATAGACCTCCTTCCTTTTCATGCTCGTGCTTTGGGTCTATCAAAGTGATTAGCTGCAGAATCATTTTGTATGCATGCTTACTGTTGTGAAGATGAGCCCACAGGGCCATCTTCCATGAAGTAGACCACCCAGGGCCTTTATCACCTACACAATATAGAGAATTCAATACCAAGCAACAAAGATAGAGAAAGTGATGGCTAACAGCTAGCCCTTGACCTTAGACACAATAAATTTGACATTCTTAACAGTGCCATGCACTTGTTAAAATAACAGTATTTTTCAGAGCAAACTGAAAGGTGGGAAAAATGAATATAACAGCTGGTCATGCAAGCAAACCGCATAAAAAAAATCAACTTAATAATACCACTAGACTGTTTGCCATTTGAAAGAAAATGACCATGAGAAAATAAGATCAGCAACCTTTGTAAGAAGTTTAAAAATTTCTGATAGAGACAACGCTGAATTATCCTCTTGGAACATGGCTGCTTATTTCAATTTTACATGAGAACAACAGTGGTTGATCCAGTCCCATTAAACCTTGCTATCCTTCTACTACGAATATTGTTGAGCACCCCCGTTGCATAAGTGTATAACCAACATCTGTTTTAAGAGGTTTTTAAGTCGCTGTGGGTTGTTTGTATTTTTCCTCTACTGAAACAATTGTGTTTATACATATACTGCTTTTGATGAATGCAATTACAATATGTTACTGAATGGCCTTCCTCCTTTTTCATTTTTCTTTTGTGCTATATTTCCATTCCTCTTATCTACAACAGTTAACCCTCAAAATCCAAAAAAGACTCAGATCAGCAAAAAGGAGCCCGTGCAAGATCGAGTAACCGTCATGGGAAGGAATCTTGGGAGGTCATCATCTAACTATAAGTTCTCTGAGCTCATATTTTCTTTTGAAACAAACCCAAACTTTACTGATAACTTCAAATAAGGATAAAATTCGAATACTGCCCTTTTGATACGCAAAAAAGGTACCTCTTTTATAAAGAGTATTGGCTACAGCTTTGCAGAGGTCAGGTGTTTGCTCAAGTGTCATGGTATGTCCAGGATAAAGACCAAACAGATGAGATACATGCCTGTGCTGAGGTTCGGGATCCTTAAAATCTTGTGCCTATGCATAAAAAACAAGTATTATGAAACTGAACAGACCAATGCAAATCACTATGAGAGATAAAAAAATAAAAAGTATATACAGACCCATTCCATGATTGTACCATCTCTACCAATTTTTATTGGCGGGAGCCTTGGTAGTGCCGCTTTTATCCTCTGAACCACATCAGTGCTGGATTTTCCTAAAATCTGGTAAGACACGTATGAATACTTCAAACACATAAACATTCAAATAAATACATGCTAGAATGATAAGACTTAACTATAACTCTAGTATAACGTTTTAAATCTGCATGCTTCATTCATAGTATCACCAAAGTATCTGCATATTCAATGAAACCTGTCTCTTTCAACAACAGTAAATAGAAATGAAGACTTACATCAGCAGACAGAAGAACAGCTGAGAATACTTCTCTAATAATTGACATGTCCATAGTTGTTGAATAGCTCACAGATGCTTTCATGCCATCCGGAGCAATAAAATAATGCTCTGGGGAAGTAGAAGGATTGGTCTCCAGATAGCCATCTTGGCCTTCAATCAACCAGGACAACAGAAAGGAGGCAGATCCTTCCAAAAGTGGATACGCTGTTCTCTCCAAAAATTCCTGCAAAAAAAGAACAGAATATCACATCTGATGTAGATTTTGTCTAGATCACATTTATGTCTCTCCAATCTCCAGAAGATGAGCTTGCACTTTGCGGCAAAGCTATCAGTATGGAATTCACCATATATTCACAACATCGACATTATCCATCAATCAGAACACATGAAAAAGGTAGATGAACGAACAATCTATTCAACAGGATAGTTAAACACTTTTGACCAGTCATTGCTGCTAAACATCATTATCTTTTAGTACAGTTAACCAGTTTGTCTAATCCAAATTTGTTAGTGTTTGCCTTATCCCTCATATTTGGTTTAAGCCCACCTTTTACCACCAATTCTTCAGATAAGATAGTGTAATCACATAAACATAAAAGGAGATTAGGTTCCAACATAAGCAATCGGCGACAGTAATTCTCATATCTGCCTATGACGTATGATCACAGTCTGTGCTTAAAGGTGATACAAGAAAGTAATGCATACAAGTACTGCATGGCGTTGCATTCCATGCCTGTGTCATCACTCACTCTGTCCATTGTAAAACTGTAGTGTTCCCACAGGTGTGTAGCAAGCCATGGCCCACCCATTGGCCATAGAGCCCATGAAGGATCACCAGCATCCGGTGATGTTTTTGCCCACAAGTCTGTGACTTGGTGACTGACCCAGCCATTAGCTCCGTAATTCACCTGTCAAGAAAACATACCATTACCTCAAAAAGTTCCCATGAAATACAAGGTTCCAAACTTTGCTATAAATCCATTTGGAACACGTAAACTGAATAAAATAAAAAGTAATATGTTTAAACACGAAGTAGAATTCATCAAGAATCTAATATACACAAACCATTAAATAGAGTTGTCCAAATGATTCATCAAGAAGATGCACAAAGTTGCAATTCTTTATCCTTGAGTGATCAAGGGCAAGTGCCTCTCAAACTTCAAATTTTGTATTCACATTTACGTTGTCGCGTTAACAGTCAATACTCAATAGTCGATACTCAGTGACACTAAGAATGAACTGAGGAAAGACCCTATCATCTAGATATACTTATAATGTCGTGGAGCAAGTGTCGTCGTGGTACTGTAGCATGCAGTATCATGTGGAAATCAGATATTTGAATAACTAATTGCCTTGTTAGATTGGTCTGTTTCCATCCTCATGTAGTAGTGACTGTCAACAGCACGACCTTTGTATTGCTATTGGGCCAAAGGGACAGATTATAGACATGTACATATGCAATCAAAATCCTATAGAAAGAAGAAACTGCACAGCTAACTATTGCCCCTTGTGCAAACTGGCAGGTCCCAAGCTTCTAGTAGCATCACTGCTACTCCTTCGTTGTCAGGCCTAGGAGTAGGATCCAAGGCTATGGGCCATGGCCACAAGAAATAAACAACAACAACAACAACAACAACAACAACAACAACAAAGCCTTTAGTCCCAAGCAAGTTGGGGTAGGCTAGAGGTGAAACCCATAAGATCTCGCAACCAGCTCATGGCTCTGGCACATGGATAGCAAGCTTCCATGCACCCCTGTCCATAGCTAGCTCTTCGGTGATACCCCAATCCTTCAGGTCTCTCTTAACGGACTCCTCCCATGTCAAATTCGGTCTACCCCGCCCTCTCTTGACATACTCCGCACGCTTTAGCCATCCGCTATGCACTGGAGCTTCTGGAGGCCTGCGCTGGATATGCCCAAACCATCTCAGACGATGTTGGACAAGCTTCTCTTCAATTGGTGCTACCCCAACTCTATCTCGTATATCATCATTCCGGACTCGATCCTTCCTCGTGTGGCCACACATCCATCTCAACATACGCATCTCCGCCACACCTAACTGTTGAACATGTCGCCTTTTAGTCGGCCAACACTCAGCACCATACAACATTGCGGGTCGAACCGCCGTGCTGTAGAACTTGCCTTTTAGCTTTTGTGGCACTCTCTTGTCACAGAGAATGCCAGAAGCTTGGCGCCACTTCATCCATCCGGCTTTGATCCGATGGTTCACATCTTCATCAATACCCCCATCCTCCTGCAGCATTGACCCCAAATACCGAAAGGTGTCCTTCCGAGGTACCACCTGACCATCAAGGCTAACCTCCTCCTCCTCACACCTAGTAGTACTGAAACCGCACATCATGTACTCGGTTTTAGTCCTACTAAGCCTAATCCCTTTCGATTCCAAGGTTTGTCTCCATAACTCTAACTTCCTAAAAGTTTAATTCACTAGAAAGTAGAAAGATATGTCGGAACACTCACGAGTATACAGGGTAGAGAACACACAGTTTCCAGAGATGCTCTTTTATGAAAGTAGACTTACTTTTGCCGTCTTAGCCCCATTGACCGAAAGGGATCCAATGAAGTCGAATAGTGGGTCTTGGCATTCACTAAGGTTGCAAGGAAGTGATGGCCAGTAATTCATTTGAAGATTTATATTTGGATGGGGAGCTGTACTGGAAAGTGAAAGGAATGACATTGTTATCAAACTTGGACTGCCAGAAAATAGTGTAAATAGGACTATCATCAATATACACTCAAATACTCCCTCTCACTAGTGTCAAAAACGTTCTTATATTATGGGACGGAGGGAGTAACTTACATTACAGACACTAAGGTATTTGCTGCAGTAAATTCAGCATTAAGTTGCTACAAATGGCAAGAGAATCAGTATTACCCACAACAAAATTTACTTGAATAAAAGATGGATACCCATTTAGTAGATCAACTGTTCAGAATGCAACAGAAATTAAGGAAAAATATACTAAATTATCACCTTCCCAAATATTCAAGTTACATTTTTATTGACATCATAAAAAATAATTCAAGTTACATTTTTTGTATAAAGAATCCCAAAACCTATATTTGAGAAACTAATGAGGGGAATTTAAATCTTTTGTGGCTTTCTTTATATGTATTCAGTGTTTTGTCATGCTGTGTCAATCCATGTGCCTAATATAACATAAAAATAATGGGAATATGAGCGTTAATCAATATGGTTATTTGGTAACTGATTATCCAATGTGTTTATGGGAATGAGCATGCCTGTATGTATTAACATCAACTGGATACACAAAATGTTGGCCTCAATTACTTCGGTGTCTTTGCATCGAAAAGGCCAAATGTGTGTTACTTTTGCAAGTAATAGGATCACAATGTGTGTACACGAGAATCCTTAATTAATCTACAGAAAAATGAATACAGCTTTAAACCTTAAAACTGAAGCCAAAGGCCAGTCTCTTCAGTTCAAAAGAAAGACTAGTCTTAACTTGTAAAATGTGCAAATTAGATTAACTTATACATGATAATTTTAAAACATATTAAGAGAAAGGGCCACTTGTCATGTTTTCCACTTATATTTTCCTCATTTTGATACAGAACAGCTACGGATTGTTATGAGACTTTTCAAACTTCTAAAATTTATTGCTCGCCATAGCAAAAATGGTCATGTAACACCAGACTGCATGCAAAGACAATCCATTTCACAGAGTTGGTCGTTTGTGACCCCATTAGGATGATATTTAAATGACGTATGCTCTGAATACACAAGTTCTACAAAGTGTGACCCAGACAAACAGTTGCAGCCGTTTTCTTATTCAATAGTCTAAAAAATAATAACCCAAGATATATAGCTGGCATAAGCAACAAAACAAGACAAGATATGTTATAAAAACATACCCCCATGGTGCATTAGTCTCGTTGTTCCATATTCCTTGCAGATTGGAAACCTGAGTTCCAGGCCTCGAACAAGAAATGAGTAGATAGCGCCCAAACTGAAACAGAAGTTCTACCAGAGAAGGATCTTCATCATGTCTAAAACTTATAATTCGGTCTACAGTAGGCTTCTCTGAATTATTAAGCTCGTTTAACCTTGAACAGTCAACCATCGGTACAGTGCAATCAGATACCTCAGCATCCTGAGAGATATTCTCAGGTAAGTGAGCCAAAGTGCTACCTCCAAGTACACCATTAGAGCCTCGTGAAAGTTGCAAGGACACGCGCTGGAAAAGACTTTGGTAATCATCCATGTGATAAGCTTTTAGCTGTGCATATGACATGCTCCTAGCCATATTTAATGTTGTGAATGCTGATGTCACTGGATCAAGTGTAGATTCAGAAGGCTTGACAAATGGCCCTTCAAATGAGGTTGCAGCTGCAAGGAGCAAAACTGCTGAGTCGGCACCATCAAGTTTCAGCATCTTATCATTTAATACTTGCACTTGGCCATTGGCACCACTCGTCAGCAGGTAGAGAATAGCACAAAATTTCATCCCCGGAGGATGATCAGATGCATTGTCATCTCCAGCGGGCTTTTCTCCTGGGCAGCTACCCTCCATGATTATTTCATTTGCATCTGTTACACGAATCCGGTGATCTAGTGGTGTAGCTAAAGATACTGTACAGGAGACAGCTCCTGGTTTGTTTGCAGAGATTTTAGTCGCGATTACTTGATGTGGATTTGAGGAGAAGTGTTCCCTTGAGTACAATACTTCCCCAACACTGTATGTGACATTAACTGTTGCAGATTCCAAATCAAGGTATCTTTTATAATTTGTATACTTGATATGCTCACCAAAGGCAAGATCAATATCACCGAGAGGCTGGTAACTCTACAGTTAAAACATAGAGCAATGTTTCAACGTCGATATAGCAGCACAACTCTTCCATCAACCTAAAATAAAATGTGTACCTGCGTCTCGTCACCAGACAGGCCATAAGCAACAGCTGTAGCTTCAGGATACAGTCCCTTATCAACAAGGCTCCTTACTTCAGAAAGAACAGTAGGTGCTTGGGGGTTTGTATAATTACCAGGTCCGCCCGTCCATAATGTATCATCTGCATCAACAGTTTTGATATGAAGCAATAAACTCTACAAAAATAAACAGATAGGTAATATTAAAGAAAGCCAATATGAGTGAAGGTGTATGTGAAACAAAAAAGGTGTACATGAGTGGGGAAAGGAGACAAAAAAGACTGATATCATTCACTTATAGGGAAACAGTAACAGAATAATGAAAAAGAAGCTTCCTAATTTTCACGTCATCTATTCAGAAAAGTGGTATGATTGTACTTTTGGAGAACACATGCAAGATCAATAAATATGATCCCTATCATTTTCATTTAAAAAGTGTAAAGATGAATCCTGGCATGAAGGATCTGCAAAACCATGCACACATTCCGACAGTGCACTCCAGACTCCAAATCATACTACTTTCAGTAAAAGTGCTAACTATGATGATGGATTCAAATAGAAAAATACCCACATGCGCCGTTTTTTCATTTTATTTTTATATGCATGCACCTATTCAGCTCAAACATATGTATCAGTCTATCAGAACCTCCCAGTATCCACCAGACCAGCATTTATCAATATGTCTTACATTGAACACAACGCAAAAGATATGTATCATGGTATATCCTGCTCCAGCGTTTGTCCATGGTGCATTTGTCACATGGGTCTGATGTATTTCGATGGAACCTACATGGGAATGGACAATTCTCAGTGGAGTCTATGTACAGAGCGTTAATCCAGTCTGATGTGCCAGTTGATAATAATAAGAAGATCTGGAAGATGAAGATACCTCTAAAGAATAAAATCTTTGCATGGTATCTTCGTCGCGGAGTCATTCTTACTAAAGATAACCTTATTAAGAGAAATTGGCATGGAAGCCCGCAATGTGTCTTTTGTCATCATGATGAGACAATAAAACATTTATTCTTCCAATGCAAATTGGCTCGTTCTATATGGTCAGTCATCCAGATAGCTTCTGGCTTGTATCCTCCTTGTAGTGTTGCTAATGTATTTGGCAACTGGTTACATGGGATAGATTACAGGTTCAGAACTATTCTTAGGGTGGGAGCGCTTGCCGTTATTCGGTCGCTTTGGCTATGTAGAAATGATAAGGTGTTTAACGATAAAAGTACTTCTCTGATGCAGGTTATCTACAGGTGTACCGGGACTCTTCGTTTATGGTCCTCTCTACAACGTGTGGAGAATCAAGGCCTGTTTACGGAGGTGTGTACACGATTGGAGGATACAGCGAGGGATACTTTTACCCAACATGGGTGGCAGCATGATCTTAGGATTGGCCCACCTCCGCTTTAGGCGTTATACATACTCTGTTTCTTTGTATTTCGCCTTCTTAATTTTCGTTTGTGTGAGAGAACTTGTTTGGCTGTGTGTATCATAGTTATGCAGAGGCCGGGTGTAATGCTTAAACCTTTTAAGTAATAAAGCACCCCTTTTCGAAAAAAGATATGTATGTGGCCAACTGACATCTCCATTTACCAGTCGATACAATGCTTGTATTGGGCGCGCTCTCACCATCGATTTCCCCTCATCTAACAACACACAGAAGCAACCATGCTCCATCAATTATTCGTCTCTCTCCGTTCGTTTGCTAAATTTCTCCCCATTAAATTCCAGCCATTTCGCTTTCTGTCTCAAGTGTG